AACATTCAAGCCTCCATTTAGAGACCGTTAATGCTCTAAATACTAATTAACAACATACCTATTGGTTTTGTAAGTGCAGTCCATCAATATAACGTGAGAGAATAACTGCAAAAGTTTCAGTGAAATAGGAGCAGCGAACATCAAATCAGTAAGTGTATCATCAGCTTCATTACTTCGATACCAATATTCATATCCAGATTCTTGAAGGTTCGACATCACGTGTTATATCACAGTCTTCCCCGCCATATTCTTTTTTTTCATCTTCTCAAGTTGGTTGTAGACATGTTTCACACTCGTTGATGTCTGTGGATTATCCTTTCTCAATCGATCCATGATTAATGCCGGTTTCACGTGGCTCATTCTAAGTAACTTCACTACCTCGTATTCTTCTGGTGTCAAATGACTATCCGGTCCTTGTCCGGTAAGATACGATAGCGTGGGGTGAGTGTGGGTGCCATTTTTTAAATTCATTCGCCATAATCCATCGTTTCGATTTTTGCTACAATATATACGAAACGGACATCCACATTTCTTTGTTCCCACATCCGTTGCTTCACACCTTCGGTTCGTTTTTCACGTCCCTTCCCAGACACATGACATCTAATTACTACATACACGTTTTCCTTGCTTGAAGTTACTATCAATCGATGACCAAGAGTAGCAGCCAATTTTTTTGCTCACTCCACTAATTCAATCGTAGTTTCAAACTCAACACCCACATTGAAATATTGACTGTGATCCTCAGTAGTTGTTGGTGTGTCTTGAGGAACATCAAAACACATGTTGGGATTCTCGTACTCGTTGTACTCTTTGTCATATTCAGTTCTAAACTCATCGTCAAAATCACCTTCACTAGCCTATTAAGATAAAACAAATAATAATTAGTATATAATAACAATATAAAAATTAAAAAATAAATAAATAAATTAGGTTTCACATGCCATGGAGGACGATTGTTCATGGTTCCCGTCCTCTAGGGCACGGGAACCACAAAGGTCCGTCCTCCACGGCACAGGAACATGGTGTTCCCGTGCTCATCAGCACGATTGAATTTTTTTTATTTTTTTGATGTTCCCGTGTTTTGCAGCACGGAACCCCAAAATTTTGGGGTTCCCGTGCTACACAACACGATAGGCCCGACGAAAAATTTCAACTTCCACTACAATCTTCGATTTACCTCGTAAAAGTCATCAGAATCGGCCATAAGGTTATTTGTTGTCGTCGGGCAGTCGATTTATCAAATAAACACGAAAATCTGAATTCTCGACTTTCTTTAGTTGAGAGTGTTTTGAGTTTTTCAGAAAATTGAAAAAGTTGAAATGAAAAGTACTGCTGCAAATAAGCCAATTTCTGTAAAAGTCCCGCTACAATTAGCATTTCAGATAATGTTATCTTTAGGCATCAATTTCTGAAAATAATCAAAAAATTCTGAAAAAATATCCAAAAGTTATAAAAAAATCAGAATTTTTCGAAAAGGCTAACTCCGATCTCTTGGTTCTAATTTTACCCCTAGCTTTTTTCCCATCCGTCTCCGATAATTAAGGAAACGATGACCAGAGAAAGTATCCAACAAAAAGCAGTATATAATGGATAAGAAAATATTCTTAGTGGTAAGTGGTGGTACAACAAATGTTGGCAATATAGCCAACTTCTGACATCTCCAAACACTCTTGCATTACATCAAAGGCTTAACTCACCCTAGGCTATCAAAGTTTCAACTACTGGAGAGTAGTAGCTCTTCCCGTAACATGCCGACACTTTCAATGTTCGGAAAAGATAGAACGAACTACATAAAACTTTAGACCGAAATCAAGATTGTACAAAACCTCACTAAACTATGAGACTCTTGTCTCAAAACACAATCATCAACTTCACTCAACAAATAACAAGTCGATATTTCGAGTTAAGTAAAAAACCAGTGAGACGGATCCGCATCCACCGACCAAGCAACTGTTGAATGGCAGTAAGTAAGCAGGTTGTCCGTCGGCTAAGGTTTTTTTCTTTTTAAGTTAAAGATAAAGAATCGGTCAGTATTTCCATTGAGCATGAATTTACACAGTTTCTGCCACCACTTTGAAGCGCGTAGTTCCATAATCTGCAGTCCCTTAAAAGCAATATGACATAGTCATGATCCAGTGTATATAGTTCTTGTATATTACTGTTACTCATGAAACTTCTTGAAGTGCTAAATTCAGCTCATGTGCAGACTTGGCAATCGAGCCTCCTTTTCTGCATATGAAATTAAGTTGACTGAATTAGCGATTTGCTCAACGAGCTGAAGTAGAGAATTTTTCATATGAAATATTGGTGCATACCTGGAAAGGTGGGGCAGGGAGCGTTTTACTTTCTCAAGTTCCGTATAGCAAAGATTGCAGCGCTCGAGCCTTGAGACAACAGAGAGTGAAAGCAGATCTTCCATAATTAGACGATTTGACGAAACAATGATAATGGAAATAACAATAGTAGTTGTAATAATAGTTGCAAGTATAATTGCTGACAAGCATAATCAAGGGAAGAAACAACCGAACCTTTGCTCCGCCTCAATGTCTACACCGACAGATGATGGCGCAGATAATGAAGAATATATTACAGAGCCAAATACTCGCACAAGTTTTAGCAGCATATCCAGTGCGATATCTTGATGCCTGCGTATAAAAAACTAATTAGTTCATTAGATTTAACAAGATCAACTGAAGTTATCACAGCTTTTTGAACCACTAAACAAAACGACAACCGCGTGAAAGATAACATCACCAAGAAATGTCACCGATAATTCATCTTGTAAATCAAACAAATGCCCAGCTCACCAACTAACTGATTCTAAGAGACAAAGGGCTTGCTAGCTCATACCTTACGGGCCTATGGCTTATGCAGTACAGAATATTTTATTCATAGCAAACAGTTAGCAACAAAACTCGTAAAGAATTCGTACAGATACTCGGTACAAAAGGTATGATGCCACATCTAGTAAATTTTTTATGAAATGCAAAGATTTTTCTTCCTTAGTAACTACTTTATCTTCAATCCCAATCAGTCAGAAAAAAGTCCTGGTCTTCGTATAGCTAGAATGATTTTGGGTCTGCAGAAATTTCATCCAAATATTTTATATCTTTCGGCCAAGTGTATCCATTTTGTGAAACAGGCAAAAGGGAAAAGATCTTAAAAAGGCTAATTGGGCCATATTGTTCTTGCATAATACATTCAGCTTTTTATTATTTCAGTATTTTCACACACACACACACACACACACACACACACACACACACACACACACACAGGCACAAAAGATCCTGCTTTTGTTACAGATTGGTTGAGGAGCCTCTGAAGACGAAGAGGATGCAGAATCAGAAGTGCTAAAATATCAAGTAGATAGTCTACTTACCTATCCATATCACTTTCTATAAGTCCTGATAGGAGTGGCAAAAGACAAGAACAAATATCTAACGTGACCATATCAGTTTTTTCTGCCAAAAGGCACATCACGTCAGCAAGCACCTGAAGAGTGAAGGAAAAGAACATGATTACTTCATAATTAACTGGGTAATGTGAACTTCTCATTACAAGTTTGAGTTTATACTGCTAATCATTGAAATCAGAGAAGAGTTACTTCTTCACCCCCATTCTGGAATTAAGAAGAGTACACTCACACTATGATCGCCCATTTTGTTGATTGCACCAAGGGCCCCTTTGATATCATGCCTTTGCCAGTAGTTGAGGACTACCTGAAGAAAAAAGAAACAAAAAAAAAGAGCACCAATAGTTTAAAACTATTATATTCTGCTCTTACTAAACTACAAGCAGCACAAGGTTTTACACAGACGTTACAATCGAGAGTCTTTGAAAGGTGAAACAAATGCAGAATACTAGAAAAACGTGAATTTGAGTAGTTTCGAAATAAAATAGTTTAAACTTTAAACAGAACCTGAACCAAGATTTTTATGAAAAATCAAGGGAACCAAAAGAGAATTTCTAAAATAAACTCACATCTGTAATTTTGCTTAATTGACCCCACAAAGCTGTCACTAAATGTATACATTTTCTCTATTTTTTCTTTCCTAGACAATCACAAAACACTTGGTTTGACACTTTTCCCATAGATATCATCTAAACAACTACAATGATCTTTTATAGAACTATTGGAGTACCTCATTCGACACAATTGACTGCACTAAGTGGTATACCACGGCCTTTGATCATCATACGAAAGCATTTACCAGAAGTACCCAGAACAGATACAACTTTTACATGAGTATGGATTTACCACTACCAGACTGTGAAAGACGTTCGTTATAGCATATATAAAGGAATCAGAACAACTACCACTCGGACAGTGCAGGGAAATGCAGCAGAATGATGTGGATTGTGACTCCAAGAATAATATAATATGCAATGAAATACCTGTAGTTTGCTTAAACGAGAATACATTGAGCCAACAAATTGATCATGCAGTTCCATCAAGTCAGCAATAGTATCCTCATCACTAGCA